CGAAAATGAAATATACAAAGCGAAATACGAAGTAAACACTGTTGATTTATCATTATTTTTAAGTATACAATTTTACATATGAGATATCAGTACTTGCTCCGAGCGGCTACAGAAAGATCATACGGTGTACTTCTTATTATATGTCTTCCTTTCAATCACAATTTTTGATGAACAGCATACCATGCATTAGGTTCATTTTAGATAACCAAAAAACAAAATTTCATTAAACATTTCAAAAAGTGGGGGGATAATTAGATATTCGTCCCCCCCCACTCCAAAAACTCCATTTTCAACGTGCACGATTATTTTTTCAAAATTTTTTGCGGTGTCCATTATTTTTTTTTTATAATCCCTTGCTCGAATTTTATTTTTTTCCAAAAATTGTTGGCGAGCGGTGAAAATTTTTTTCCGGACTTAAAAATGTTTTCAGGACAAAGAAAAAAAGGGGTCAAAAAAATTTTTCCGGACTAACATCAGTTTAATTAAAGGTGCCCTACAGCCCGTATGTAAACAAAGCCTTTGTTTACATTTTTGTGTCCAAAATATTGAGCTTTATTCGACAACTATTTATATTTTCAAGCTTCTAGAGTATAATATATGATCAAGAAACAACAATCAGGCTTTGCAAGAACCCAAAATATAGTTAAACTGTTTGTATCATAAAAAGTGGGCTCCTTTGTGCACATGCGCAGATCGGACTGTAGGGCACCTTTAAGGTTTAAAACACATTTTCCCTGAAAAATCTTCTTGAAACATGATTAAAACGCTTTTTTGCATCAATTAGGTTTAGAAAAATTTTTCTCACACCATTACTTATATAAAAAAAGTTCAAAATTATTTTTCTTTTACTTTCCTTACACTGTACCTCTGATAGGCCCTGTCAACTTATAATTTTCCATATTGAGAAGTCTCTGCACGAATTTTTTTTTTCAAACATTTCTGGTGGCCGAATTTTTTTTTTCTGTTTGCCCTGCTCTATTTTTACTTTTGCTTTTGCCCCCCCCCCCCATCACTTTTCTAATGGTCCGCCCCTAAACAACATGGAGATATCGTGAGACTGTGAACATTTAATATATTTTTAGTTTGTACGTTTTATTTTTGGATTTTTTGATTAAATAATTTGGTATACAACAAATGTGTGATGAGTTCGGTATATGCCTATTCTGGAATACGCGGCACCAATTTGGGCTGATTTACTACACTAAGGAAGATATCGAAAGAGTACAAAATCGATGCCTAGATATTATTGGTTTACCGAGGAATACAATTGAGTCGCTCGAATCAAGAAGGAACTTTTTGACGCGCAAATAATATAATAATATACATAATTCAGAAAATCACCCATGACCATATAAAAGATTTATTTGTGGAACTAACGGACATAAATATAACTTAAGGACAGGTTGCAACCCACTTTTAGAGCCAATTTCACATACGGACAGACATAAACAATCATTTATACCGAGAGCAGCTTGGTTGAGCTATTTTAACGAACATACAAAGTAAACAAAATAGTCTTATAGTTGAATATATAGGCAGTAATTGTTCTTATTCAGTTAAATAGTCATAAACAGAATTATAGCTAATATAAGTTTATATATACTACAGAAGGCCAGAGGCGACAGCATAAAATCACTTTTGTATTTTACATTTTTGTGTTTTATATTTTGTATTTTTGTGTTTTATATTTTGTGTTTTATATTTTGTGTTTTATATTTTGTATTTTATATTGAGGGTACCTAAATATCGAGTCAGGATTCGAGCCAGGATTCGAGCCAGGCTCGAGCCAGGACTCGAGCCAGGACTCGAGCCAGGACTCGAGCTAGGACTCGAGCTAGGACTCTACCGAGCGAAGCGAGGTGAGTTCGGGAAACTTCCAGCCACCCGAGGTGCGTCCAATCCCGGACTTACCGAACCTGCAAGTACGTTTGGTTTTTATCCCATACACCGAGCCATACACACATTTGTAGCTCTTCGCGATATATTCGTCGATGTTTTGTGAACATTTTCCCGGCCAAAAAAATCACTGGGCAAGAAAATACTTCTTTAGCTACGTCTACATTACCTTTACTGCATTTTTTCTTTGGTTTTTCTTCAGTCTCAGTATGTTAGTCACCGAAAAAAGTTCTTTAAAGTTTAGGTTTATCGGCTAAATCTTGTCCGCCATATTTGTTTAATATTGTTATTGCAACGTAAGCAGTTTAGCGGGTGAGTTCGGGCGAAAAGCAGGTGAGTTCGGCAAAAAGCAGGTGAGCTCGGACTCGAGCTAGGACTCGACCCAGGACTCGATTCAGGACTCGAGCCAAAAATGACGTCATGTGATTTTGATGGATGAAAATTTACCAGCGTTCTCACTTTTAAGGAACTTTCCTTAAATTTACACTAGTCGTTCACCAACAAGGCGAAATGTTTAAGTACTGTTTAATAAACGAGCAGGAGTGTTTTATTAGGTCTAAAGCCACGAGCGCGCAGCGCGAGTGGCTTTAGACCTAATAAAACACGACCTACGAGTTTATTAAAACGACGACATACGACTACAAATTCAATAGATATACTGCCTTATTAGTATTCTTTATATAAAGAATACTAATTAGGAGTGTTTTATCAGGTTTAAAGCCACTGCGCGTGACATATTATGGTTGACATGATTTGCCAATAAACTTATGAATTATTAATGAGTGTTTGAAGGAAATTTAACTGAATTTGAGGAATTGTTTATCGATAACCTAAGGAATGTTTGGCAAATGGGAAGTGAGAGAACTTGTTTACCAAATCAATTTCCCGCCTTTTTCCGCCAGATTCGATAAAAGAACTAAAGAATGAATGTTGATATTTGATATATTTGTACATACAGAGCTGTCAAATACCATTGTTGTTGTTTGTCTTTGATATATTGCACAAATATCGATATCCAAAAAAGGGAAATATCCGGCCAGTATTTTATCGAACTAAAACAGTTGGTATTGCCCATCACTAGCAGTCTCTCGCTCTTTACAAAACAGATACTTATTGCCGCTTAGCATTCGTCAAAGAGTAGGATAATTCTCCCTGCTTTATTTTCCTGTAATAGACGCCAATATCACCAAACTGTATTATAGAAGAGCCGGCCACGCTGGCTAACTGTATTACCAAATACACCCTTTCGATAATTACACATACTTTTTGGTCTTGGACCTCGCTCTCATTGGAAAATTACACAAGGTGATTAGCGTAATTATTGAAAGGTTGTATTTAATTTGCTAGTAGTAGAACATTTAGCTAGCCTGCGTAACGTGTCTTATGAAACAAAACCATTGGGTAATGGCAATTCCCCGTATTTTCGCATTTTTTTTGATCGAGTCCTGACTCGAGTCCTGGCTCGAGTCCTGGCTCGAATCCTGACTCGATTTTATATTTTGTATTTTATATTATTTTTGTGTAATGTACTTAGACGTGGGATTATTGGCCCGATCACAGTTAATAGACTAACTGTGGCCCGATTATTACGAAAGTCACCGAACTGTGGAATCGCATAAAAAATTCGTATATCGACCACTCCCACAAACGTCTACGTAGGACCGCGCCTACATAGTTTTG